ATCTTCACAACATCTCCATGGGGTAAAATGCAATTCTACTTCAGTTTTACAGAAAAGAAAACTGGGACACTGAGAGAGTACGTAATTTACCAAAATGTCACACAGCTGGTAAGTGGTAGAACTTAGTTTGGACCCAGACTGACTCTTTAGCCTTCAAGCTTATCTACCACATTATACTGGATCATGTTACTACCCATACTCAAATGCTTTCATGGCTTCTCACTATACTGGGACTAAGTCCCCAGTTTCATACCAAACCTGCCGGGTTCTGTGAAGTACCTCCTGCTTACCTCTCTATACTTTTTTCCTGCTGCTTCCCTTTCCTCAAGCCACATGGCTTGTTTTTCTGTTTGTTTTGTTTTTCAACTTCCTTGAACATGATAAGCCCTTTCCTGTTGGCAGGCATTACACATCCTTTACCTTAAATACTCTTCTCCCTGGCTCCTTCTCATTTTCCACGTCTAACTTGATTATCTGTTCTGAGGGAACTTGCTTCAGCATGCTATTTCTTAAAGTAGCTCCCTTCCTGGTATGTTCTATCTCAGCCCCGTATTTGTTTTCTTTTTAACCCTTAAGATAGTTTGTAATTATTTATTTGTTTACTTGTTTTGTCTCTTCTATAAGATTAAGTGCTATAAAGGCAGAGGTTGTCTCTCAGTCACTTTTGTATATTCAGAGCCTAATACAGTGCCTGATTCATAGAAGGAACTCTAGAAATATTTGTTGAGTAAACATATATTTTCTTTTCCTACTTCATAGCTTCTGTTTACTCACGATATCTGCTTCCTCATCTCTTTGCTTTCTTACAACCCAGATTGTATCCCCTCCCACATATTTCTCCATTTAACCTCATGGCCTCTCTCTTTATATCCTTTTAGTCATTGTTCGTATAGCTACTGATTGTCTCAATTATCTCATGTTTCCTAACTTGAATTCCTCAGAGAGAAATATTGATTTGTTTAACTCATATTTTGGGAGCCAGGCCACATTTGTAGGTTGCTGGCAAACTCATGGGTTATTTGCTTTGGGGTCAGATTCCCAGTTCTGGTTCAAATAGCTGTGGGGGACAGGGTGTGAGTAGCGATGGTCTGTACAGTGCTGCCTTTCCACAGGGCTGAGGATTTAGCAGGCATGGTGATTTATATTTGAGTACAAGTTGCAGCTGTAGCAGCAGCAAATAGTTAATTGGACCTCACTTAAGGGCTGGGTTTCCCAATAGTTACTCTCTAGGACAAGGGTCTCAAACCCCTAGGCTACGGATCTGTATTGGTCTCTGGCCTGTTAGGAACCAGGCCACACAGCAGGAGGTGAGCGGCTGGTGAGCAGGTGAAGCTTCATCAGTATTTATTTGCAGCCTCTCCCCAGCGCTAGCATCACCACCTCAGCTCCATCTCAGCTCCACCTCAGATCATCAGGCATTAGATTCTCATAGGAGCACCAGTCCCTGGTGCCAAAAAGGCTGGGGACCACTGTTCTAGGAGACAGGTCTCAGGTTATCTTGAGTCCTGTTTACTCTCCCTTTGAGGAGAATAGTAAACACAAATGGAAAACTCTTGTATTTACACAGCATTTCAGTGTTTGCATCCATCTGGATTTGTACCTCCAACAACACTGAGAGGCAAAGAATACTGTCTCCATTTTACAAATAAGGAAACTGAGGCTCAGGGAGGTAACGTGCCTTGCCCAAGGTCCCACACTCACTAAAGAAGAGCTAGCACTAAACCCTAGGTCTCTAGACTCCCCTGCCTGGGCTCCTTTCACTATATCTTGCTGCCTCATTTCCTTTCTGAGACTGTCATCTTGAATCACAACTTAAGGAATTTGTAAAACCATTTGAATGTCCTGTGAAATGTTCTAGGGGGAGCTTGATGATGATTGAAGAATCCTATAAGGCAGCACTATATGTGGGCTCTGGGCTCCCAGTACACTTATCAAGTATCTAAGTATTTATGGAGCACTTACCACATGCCAGGCACTCTACTTTGCATATACTCTCACAATTCAACCTCACGACATTTAAATGAGGTAGATATTATCACAATCCCCACTTTACAGATGAAGAACTGTAACTGAGATTCAAGAGATTAGGTCACTGGACCAAAGTTTGAGATCTAGTAAATGGCAATGCTGAGATCCTAATTCAGATCTGACTCCAAAATCCATCATCCTTACATTACATTTCCTTTCTTCTTATCAACTGCGTTAACCTTGGTTGTTACTTAATTTATGTGGTCTTCTGTTTCCTTATCAGTAAAATGGGGATATTATTATCTAATTCCTGAGATTATTATAAGTTTATGAACAATCATGTAGAAGAATCTATTCCAGTAAACATAGCAGGTACACACAGTCTTGCAGTTTAGTCTGACTCTAAATCCTTCATATGTGAAAAGAACCAGAATTATCAACTCCAGTTTCCTATGAAGAACAGGATCTCTCTTATAAAACTATCCTGCTGACAAGTATTCCTCGTCCAAATTCTGAAGACATCAGGCCTTGAGGGGACAACAGTTATTCTCTAAGGAAACAGAGAAATTCAATGAACTTTAGAGATGAGAAAGAATCTGCACTCTACCTAGCCGTAATGTAGCAGAATAGAAACCAGAAAGTAATCAACAAAGAGATTCGAATCTGTGTCTGACAAGTTTAAGACTTTCTCAAAGGCCAGGGCATTTTACATATAATATTTAATCCTATCACAACTTTAAAATGTAGATCTTTTTATGACCTCCATTTTTCAGGCTCAGAGAGTTTAAGTGACTTAGCTAAGGTCACACATCTAATTTGAGGTAGAGAAGGAAGAGGAGCTCAGTTTGGTACCATTGCCCTAAGCTTTCAGTTGTTTGCAGTCTGGCGAGTCTACTAGCAAGTTACCCTGCCCTGCAGCTTTAGGATTCTTTGGATGGAAACTAACTCTCAAGTCAAACATGATCTTTTCATAATCCTGACATCATGCCCATTCATTATTCTTGGGAAAGGAAAATCAAATCTACAGGCATCAGCACAATGGGGGAAATGCTGGCTAGGATGGTACAACCCCAGGTAGCAGTACAGATAAATACCAACACCTAAACAAATGATGGTAGTGTCATGTGAAGAATGCAAAAGCAAGAATAATAATCTTTGTGAGCACTTTATAATTCATAAGAAATGTTAATATCTATTACCCAATTTGCTCTTCATATCATCCCTTTGGGTAGGTATAACTGCCATTTCACAGAAGAAGAAACTGAGGCTCAAAGAAGTTTATTTAATATGAAGGAGTGGACATACATTGTTATGTAGTCTCCCAGACTCCATTCCCCCTTCTTTTGGTAACTGTACCCTGTGTTTCCTTTGGAGATCAAAGACCTCCCACCTCAGCAAGCGATTGGATCAATACGTGCACATGATACATCAGATCTTTGGGCTTCAAGCTTAGAAATTTTGGGGGGCTTTTGTTCAAACTTTTGAGATGGAAGAATTCTCTTAAACCCATAGGTATAAATCTGAAGTTAATGGCTGCCATCACAAAAAGAAAATATTATGTATAAATTTTAAACCCACAGAAGAGAATTCATCTTAGCCAATGGAAAGCAGAAATGAAGATTAAAAATAAAAAGAATGTATAATAAATAGATGGTAGAACTAAATCCTAACATATAATAGTTACATTAAATGCAAATAAGTTAATCTCACCAATTGGATTTTTTTTTTAGGTGAGGTAATCCTTGATTGACCTTGCAGATTGCAAGAACCTTGTCAGATTACAATCCCTTATGTATGTATGTATGTATGTATGTATGTATGTATGTATTTTATGCCTACAGCACTTGGTCTTCCTAGGTGGTCTCCCATCCAAGTACTAACCAGGTCCGACTCTGCTTAGCTTCTGAGGTCAGATGGGATCTGGCTTGTTCAGGGTAGTATGGTTGTAGACGCCA